GCACAAGTCATCAGCCTAGCTCCCTCTTCTAGAGCCATCAGAGTCCAGTGACAAGATGAAAATCAAGATGTCTGGTGATAGCTCAGGATGCAGTGAATGACCTTGGCATTTCTGATGTCTAACCATGCTCTAAGCACTACACAGAGCCTGCTTCTGATACCTTCATGGCCCATTGGAATAAATGATTCACATCCACCCATTCCACTGGAGAAGTCTTCACATGCTTGGGGCACCCCCCCCAACTTAAACTCTCCCCTAACTCACTGACAGGTTTGAGGCCCCTCCACCTGGTGTAGCCCATCTGCCAAAATAGTTTACTGGGCTATGGTTGCTGTGCATGCCACGGCTTCTTGGAGACACGGGTGGGAATTTAGTGAGTCAGGTGTATGCCGAAGGTGGAAAGTAGCACTGAAAAGGGCTCAGCAGCCCTCACACCAGAGGTACTAGTCTTCCTTGAACACCTGTACACCCCAGAACACCATATACACTTATATGTATGTATGTATATGTATATACATATACACAAATATTTTATTTTTATTTATACATATATAATACATATACACATATAATACACATACATATATTTAAAATACATAAGGTCCCAGCTTCTTATACATTCTCTTCCCTGTTCTATATATCTTAAAATGTTTGCATTTGTTGATAGTTAAATTCGGAATAAAAATTTTAAAAATTTAAAGTGACTATATTATGCCCTCCCCCCTTCATGCAAGGCTTTTCAAACCTTAGTTATGTAAAAGTCAGTTATTATCATTCACTGAGTGCCACAGGGTTCTGTCTGTGACCCTGTTAATAGTTTACTTTTATGTAGGGGTGTGTGTGTGTGTGTGTGTGTATTCCCCACGCTGGTTATATGTGTGTCCACGTGGATTTGTTTACACGTGGCTTGAAGGAAGATGTGAATAGATATCTCTAGAGTCTTTTTTCCAAGGGAGATTTTGATTCCTGCCAGGAGACAGTAGGGGATTGGGACCACAAAGCTGCCCTCCTTATTCTCCTCAGAAAAGAAATACCAGGCTAGAATTACAACTATCCATCCTCAATATTATTAGTCTAGAGAGAATAATTTTTAGGTTCAAGCTGTACTCCTGGTCATTATCTTTTTAATAGGGAAGGTACGTCCCAAGCTATGTATCCAAGCACCTGACCTCAAATGCCAATTACACAAAAATACATAGTAGATAGCAAATAAACCCAATGATTCAAGCTAATAGCAAACAAAAATCAGAGAACTTCTACAGATTAGAATATGATAGATAATACACAGAGTGAATGCACTCTCCCACTAGGAACAAGATATCTCAGTTCAACCAAGGGAAGAGTCCTCAATCTCACCCAAGGGAGATTCTCCAAAGTTACCCCCTGTCCCCATCTTAAAGCCACAGAACTGTCTTTAGCATGGTATTTGGGAACAGGGACACAAGTGAGGCACCAGTTCCTTTGCATGTTGGCTTCTCTCCCTCCAGGGACCTTTCCCTAAAGGGAACCCAGAACTGTGTGTCCTTCTCAAAACCAGATGTCAGAAGAGCTGGGATCTCTCCTCTGCCAAGCTCTCATGAACCCTAGCCTCCATCCAAGCACTAGTTACACTGACATTGCACTTTATGGTTTACTGAACTGTAAGCATGATCTCATTTAAGCCTCACAACAACTGTGTGGAATAGGGAGTGCCAATATCATTTGCTTCATTTTACAGATATGGAAACTGAAGCACAAAGATTTCAGGGGCACACAACTAGGAAATGAGAGCTGGGACTCAAACCTGAATTTCCTGCGTCAGACACTTGCTAGCTGTGTAATCATGGACAAATCCCTTAATTTGTCTGAGTCTCAGTTTCCTCACCTGTAAAATGAGGGGATTGAACTCCATGGGCTCAAAGGCCCTTTCCAAATCTAAATATAAAATCCTATGAATCACAGAACCTCAGAGTTGGACAGACTTCAGAAGTCCTCTAATCTAAGCCATGCTTCAACAAGATTCCTCTCTACAACATACTTGATAAATGGGCATCCATCTTCTGGATTGATGAGCAACCTACCACCTTCTCAGGTTCAATCCACGGCTCATATTTCCACCCTCTGGGATCAAGAAGTTTGTGATAGCTCCTCAGATATTTCAAGACAACTATCATCCCACCTCTCTCAAGTTTTCTTCTCCAAGCAAAAAATTCCCAGTTCCTTCAAGGACATAATCTTTATATGGCATGATTTCTAGTCTTCTTACCTACCCTAGCCACCCTCCAAATTTGTCAATGTGCTTTCTAAAATGTGGTGTCCAGAATTGAGCTCAAAACTCTAGATATGATCTAACCAGGGCAGGGTACAATAGATCCATCACTCCCTTGTTCTGAACATTTTTGTTGTTGTTCAGTCATTTTCAGTCATGTCCAACTCTTCATGACCCCATTTGGAGTTTTCCTGGCAAAGACTGGAGTGGTTTCCCATTTCCTTCTCAAGCTTATTTTACAGCTGAAGAAACTGAGGCAAACAGGGTTAAGTGACTTGCCCAAAGTCACATAGCTAGTAAGTGTCTGAGGCAGATTTGAACTCAGTCTTCCTGCCTCCAGGCCTGGCACTCCATCCATTGTGCCACCTAGCTGCCCAATCTGAACACTACCCTTCTATTAATAGAGCCAAAAAATGATACTGTTGATTCAGATTGAGCTTGCTCTCCACCTCCAATTATTTTCCATATGTATTGTTGTATAATCAATATTGTCATTTCTACTTCACATGCAACCCTTTTTCTCCACTCACACCTTCATTACTTCTTGCCTAGATTATTTCAACAGCCTCCCAATTGGTCTCCATAGCTTAAGACTCCTGGTTCATCACTCCTCCACTCTGCTGCCAGAGTGATTTTTCTTAATTAAAAATCTGCCCAAGTCATTCCCCTACTCAATAACTTATAGTGGCTCCCTATTGCTAGTGAAAATAATAATAATACATAAGCTCCTCTGTTTAACTTTCTTCAGCCCTTCACAACATGGCCCCAGTCTTTTTTTCCAGCCTCATTGTTCTCCTTTCTTGCATTCCGTGATCCAACAAAACTGGCCTTCTCTATGGTCCTCACATGTGACAATCTTTTCCCATCTCCACTAGCTACCCTGGATACCTGGAATGTGCTCCCTCTTCACCTCTGCCTCATAGAGACCTTCTCTTCCTTCCAGACACAGACCATTTGCTGCTTTCTAAATAAAGCCTTTTTAGATATCCTTGTCTACCAGTACCCTTCCCCTTCCCCAAACTACTATGAATTTAGCTTCTTTGACTTTATTTGTATTTATTTTGCACAGACCTATATAGGTTTCTGTTGTCTTCCCTATTCAAAAGTCTTTGTGAGCGGGGATTGTTTCTTCTATTGTTTTTGTATTCCCAGTGCCTAGGACAGGACTAGCACAATGTAGGTATCTAATATTGGATGGAATGCCTACTAGTGGCAGACACTATCCTAGGCACTTAGGATATAAAGACAAAAAACAAACAGTTCCTATCCTCGAGGAGTTTACAATCCATGGCAGGAAAACTACATGAAGACAAGCAAATATAAACTGAAAGCAATTTGAAAGGGGATTAGAACCAATAGCTGGGAAATCAAAGATGGCTTCTTTTAGGAGGTGGCTCTTGACTTGACCCTTGAAGGGAGGTAGTGGTTCCAAGTGTCACAGGGGGAGAGAGTCATTCTTGGCATAGGAGACGACTTGTACAAAGGCATGAAGGCAGGATATGGGATGTTGTATATGAGAACAGCAAGTGGGCCAGTTTTATTGGAAAATGGAGTACATGAGGAAAAGATGTGTGTGATCAGCCTGGAAAGATCAGTTTGAGCTAGATTGGTAAAGGCTTTAAGTATAAAACATAGGCAGTTTGTACTATTTTATCCTAAGGTAATAGTGAGCTACTGAGGCTCCATGAGCAGGGGAGTACCAGGGCAGATCTGTGCTTCGGGAATGTAAATTTTGTGTTATATGGAAGGTGGGTTGGAAAAAATGGAAACTGGATGCAGGGAAGACAATTAGGACGTTGCAAGGGTTCCTAAGAGAGGCGAGGGTTTGAATTATGGTGGTTACCAAGTAGAGCTATACAGGTGGATATGAGAGCTATCAGGGAGGTATAATCTATGTGACTCCCTTGCCCTGTATCTGTACAGTTGACTCTGAACCCAAGTGTAGGATTTTACACTTATCCCCATTAAATTTCATCTAATTTGGCCCATTCCAGCTGCAGATATCTTTTCTTATAATGTATACCGAGAGAACATAAGCTCCCTGGTGGCAAACAATTGATTTTTTTGTTTGTTTTGGCTTTTTGGTCTTCATAGGTCCATGCATACAGTAGGCACTGAATGAGTGCTTGGTTATTTATTCTACCTGAGCATTCTATCCAGCCTTCTTTTTTTGTCTTTGTGTGTCCAGCGTCTAGCACAGTCCCTTGCAAAGAGTAAGAGCTCAATAAGCACTTATTGATTGATCCAAGGAGGAATAGGACAAATCTGGGAGGTAGCGGTAAGAGGACTCTAAACCAATGATACAAAGGCATTTATTCAAAATCACACAAACAACGGTAGCGAAAAGATTAGAACCCAGATGTCCTGGTCTTTAGTCCACAAACACACAGCTACTCTGGTAGGAATCTACCTCCTACACACACACACACACACAGATTCAGGGTAGTGGGAAGAGTAGAATCATTCTGATTTATTCAGTGCAGAATATAGTGGCTCAGTTTACAGCTGTCCATGCTCTCTTACTCTTCTATGGTCTCCCGTATCCTTCCTTTAATACATTTGATCACCACCTCTTTGGGGACTAACTCACCTAGACAGACACATACCATCACTCTATCCCACCCCCACCTTCTGGAAGTACTCTTCTAGAAACCCTCAATCCAGGATAGGAGAAGTTCCATCAGGGATGTTTCTTTCATCCAGAAGGCCTTGTCCACTGTGGGCCTCATCTAACTTACGAGAGCGGTCACCGTCAAGTCAGGGGTGCCAAAAGATGGCCACCTTCTTCATCCACTGCTGCTGTTCCTTTACCTGTGGAGGGCCCCACACCTTCCCCCCACCATCAAGATCCAATGAAACTGAGTCACAAGTCCCAGGGGTATCTTTCCCTCCTTTAATTTCACCCTCCCTCCCCACACCTTGGAGACTCTTATAATGATTATAAGAAGAAGCTTCATGGCATAGGGGATAGAAAACCAGCTTTAAGAGTTAGGAAGACCTGGGGTCAAGTCTTGTATCAAGTATGGCTGCTAACCATAGGCATGTCATTTAACATCTTCAAGGTCTAGTCTCCTAGACTACAGTCACAGTAGGAGTTCCCCACACTGATTATATACTGTTGTTATTGTTCAGTTGTGTCCAACTCTTCATGCTCCCTTTGGGGTTTTCTTGACAAAGAGACTGGAGTGGTTTGCCATTTCCTTCTCCACCTCATTTTACAGATGAAGAAACTGAGACAAACAGAGTTAAGTGATTTTCCCAGGCTCACAAAGCTAAATAAGTGTCTAAGGTCAGATTTGAACTCAAAGAGATGAATCTTCCTGACTCCAGGCCAGGCACTCTGTCCATTCTGCCATGTACATATTAGGTATAGCCAAAATAGTAGTAGTTGTAGTAGTAGTAGTAGTAGTAGTAGTAGTAGTAGTAGTAGTAGTAGTAGTAGTAGTAGTAGTAGTAGTGATAGTGGTAGTGGTAGTGATAGCAATAGTGATGGTGATGGTGGTGGTGGTAGTGATAGTAGTAGTAGTAGTAGTAGTAGTAGTAGTAGTAGTAGTAGTAGTAGTAGCAGCAGCAGCAGCAGCAGTAATTTGTACTATTTGGGCTATCATAAACATTTCGTTTTATTTCCCCAATCACCTCCATGAGATAAGAAATGTTTTCAGCCTTATTTTGTGGATGAAGAAATTGACACTCAGAGAATAATGCAATTTGATCAATACCATGGTTAATTGTGACTGTGAACCTAGGGTACCTAACTCCTGGTCAATCTCCTTTCCCTCTTGTTTGAGGAAGGGGGAAGAGAGGGTAGAGAGGGAGGAGTGCCACCAAGACACAAATCTAATTTTTTTAATCAATGGAATGCAATTCTAGACACATCATCTCCCTACCCCCACCACCTCCACCCTAGTCAGGGATACATTTCCCAGTTTCCTCCCCAGCCTCCAACAGATAATAGGCACATAGGTAAAGTTCCAAGGTTCCTATGAGCCCTTAGAGGTCATCTATCCCTCCCCCTTGCTTCCTCACTCACCCCTAATTTGATGGTGAATCCAGTCCGAGAACACAGCCACCCTGGTATAGACGCCTGGTCTGTGGGGTTTTGCACAATTCCAGCCCCAGCTCACCACACCCACCAAGCGCCATATCCCTCGGTCCAGACACACCAGAGGACCTCCACTGTCTCCCTTAGAGACCCCAGGGGCAGACAGAAAAGGGAGCAGTTGGTCGGCTCTTCTCAGGAGAAGGGTACCACTTGTGGCCACTGCCACATGCCAAATGGCTAACGATCTGGAGCTCCTACCCCACCCCAATTCCTCTTTGGGGAGTCAGCCCCCACCCACAGGCAACCCCCACCTCACCCAAAGCCCCCTACAGGGCAGCCTCCCATTCACTGCTCCTTCAGAGGGCTAGTATCAGTGGTGATTCCCTGTAAATCACCTCTGCTCGGTCTAGTTGAATTAATGCTTCATATGCACTCATCACTTTCCCTGCCCCTTTTTAAAAAGGCCTCCACCCCCAACTCCTGTGGTGCCCAAAGCTCCCCAGCCTGGGTCCCCCTCTGTGCCAACCCCCCCAACCCCAATCTCCTCCCATCTAGCACCTGGCATGCATCAGTGTGCCCATCCAGGTAGCCAGCACAGAGCATCCGGGGAGTGATCATGCCTTTGTACGTGCAAGAGCTATTGCAGAGCTCAGGGCTGATCAGGGGGACCAAGGCGTTCTGGAGGGTGTTTGAGCCATACTCTGGAGAAGGCAGAGCCCCAGGCAACCATGGAAACAGAGATACATGGAGACAGAGGCAAAAACTGAGGCCGCAGTCTTGTCAGATGGGGGAGGGGCAGGGAGGAACAAAGGCTCTGAGTAGAATATTACTCTAGAATGTCTCTAGGCCCTGGACTTCCACAAATGGCCCGTTACAAAGCCACAGGAGGTGGTGATATTTTGTGGAGGCCCAGGAAGAGGAAGGAGTGAAGATTTAACATAGGACTGTTTTTCCAACGTGAATATGATGCAAAGGACGCCAGTCTAGTAGATCTGGCCAAAGAGGACATCCAGGAAAAGGAGATCTGGGGTACAGCGATATCAGTAAAAGGGGATGAATGTGTCACAGCCAGTCGGCTCACAAGGGGGTAGGGGATTCCTCCCAATCACCTCTTGTCCAATACCAACCACCCACCCTTTCTGGATCTCACTCACCTACATAAGAGGTTGTGGAGCCCCAGCCTGACACCCAGCATTTCGAGCCCTGTGGGAAATTCTGCTGCATTTCTGGCAGGCACACAGCCTGCACCGTGTCTGGAGAAAAAGGCCACAGGCTTTGTTTCCTACACTGGACTTTGCCACAGCTCTGACCCTCTAGCAAACCTAGCCTCTGTTTTTGTGCTGAAGACCCCTTCTGGTCTGGAGGGACAGGTCAAAGGGAAATCTCATCAGGCGAGGGGTCCCCACATATTTTCCTGATGGAGTGCTCCTTCTTGTTTCCCACAAAGCCTTAACCATCAAAGCAAAGCCTTGGGAGGAGGCGAGAGTGAGGGGAGGCTAAGAATGGAAGTCACCCCTGGGGTCTGACGATTCACTCCACGGAGATCAGACAAGTACGGTTTCCAGCTCTCTTGGCCAGGGAGCCCCATTGTAAGGGGATAAAATAATGTCTACTCCATCTCTTCCAATCCCCCAAATCAGGTCATCGATGCTGGGGCTAGTCCTACTCTGAAAATGGAAGCCAAGAAATAGGGTCTCATTCACATGTTAAAAGGCTTCTATTCCAGCACTGGTTCCCTGTGTTATCCCAACTGGACCCCCACCCCAGATAAGGCATCCTTCTCTCTCCAAAGGGAAACCTCTCCCCACCTCACTGGAAGGGCCAGTGCCCATCAGATCATGCCTAACTTACTGGAGAAGTTCAGTGGGGTCTGGAGCTTCAGCAGAGCAATGTCATAGTCATGTCTCTGCTTGTGGATTTTAAAGAGAGGATGCAGGATGATCTTTTCCACCATGGCCCCAGTATGTGGTACGATGTCGCCGCGGTTGACAATCCCAACAAAGATCCTCAAGCTGGACATGTGGGGCAGACTGCATTGGACAAAGAGATGATGCTAAGCACTGAGCACAGGGCACAGATGTAACAGAATGACCGTGATGCTGGGGGCAGAGGCAACTGGACAGGAGGAGATCAGTAGGTCCTCTCGGCAGCAAAGTCCAAGCCTTCACACATCTGCATCCCCACATCACCAGGCACAGGAAGCTGCAAGGTAACCTCAGAGGTCATCTGGTCCAGCCTCACCTTACAGATGGGGAAACAGAACCGGTGAGTTTACATAACACAGGCAGTTGGCAGGGATTGATCAGAAGCAGGATCTGAACTTAGGTCTTTGGATTCCAGAGTCTGTGGGCAGGGGAGAGGGGTGGAGATCCAGAACAAACATTTAGCAAATATTTTATGATGGCAGAAATACTGGAGAACTCCAGCCCCTCAATTTGTTACTGAATCATCACTGTTGTCATCACCAACCAAAAACATATTAAGTCCCCAAAGAAGCACTGTGATATAGTAGAAAGAAGAGTCAGGAAGCCTGGGTTCAAATTCTGGCTCTGGGTTCAAATCCTGACTCTGCCAATGAGTAGGTGGGCAACCCTAGCAAATTACCTAACTTCTCTGAGCCTTATCTTCCCATAGATCCCATAGATAGATCCCTATCTCTCTAGATCGTTGAGAAAAAGGAGAAAATGGGTTGGAATTGCAAAACTGTAAAGAACTACATAAATGGAAGGGATTTATATAAGCATTCCCTCCAAGTACAGCTCAGATGTCACCTGCTTTTCTGACCCCACAGTTTCTCTCTGTCTCTCTCTCCTCTCTATCTCTCTCTATCTCTGTCTTCTTCCCTCCTTCCTCTGTCTGTCTCTTCCTCTTCTCCCTCTCCTGTCTGTCTCTCCTCTGTCTTTTTCCCTCCTCATTCTCCTTCTTCTTCCCTTGTCTCTGTCTACTCTCTCTCTCCTCTCTTCTCTGTCTCTCTCTTTCTCTGTCTCTGTCCCTCTCTCTGTGTGTCTCTCTCTGTCTCCCTACTTCACATGATAAAAATTGCTTTGTATATAATTTGCATTTACTTAATCTATGCTTGTCCTATCCCCTCCCCACAATAGAATGGAGGCTGGGGACAGGAATGGTTTCATGGTTTATTTTTTTCTCTTCAGCTCCAAGCGACTGACATATTGTAGGTGCTTAAAAATATGTTGAATGAATTGAAATTGATTATGATTCTCATTAGCATTCTTGAGAGTAGGGATGATTTCATTCTTTGTATTTGTATCTCCAGTTCCTAGTACAGTGCCAGACACACACTTAATAAACACTCATTTAATGAATGAATCATCATCATTACAAGCATAGTAAAAATTGCATGTGGCCCAAATCTAAGCACAGCACAAAAAGGACTATAAGCCCTAATGCTACCCTCTAGAAGTTCATTATCTGCATCAGATACACCTGTATAGGACATAATGACAAGAGAAACATGGCACCCATCCACAAATGAACAGAAAAGGATTCCCATGTGCTCCACAGCTCAGGCAAAGGTTCTTTAAGGGAATGCATGGGTAGTCTCTGGAGACATACCTGTAGACACAGTGGGCTGCAGTCACTACCCAACTTGGAGACAGCAGAGAGCCTCCACATAAGTACTGGGGACCCTTGAACATGCTGACCTGCCAGGGCCATTGCCCAAGGACAGCGGAGGTGCCACCAATAATCCGGGAAGTCAGGTGTTGGACCCCACACTCTGGCCATAATTGGTGGGAATGCAAAAAAAGGAAGAGAGAGGCAAAAGTTGGTGCCAGCACCATCACTGAGCGCCTTGGGGTGGATGGCCAAGGCCTCTGGGGTCATGGAATGTGCGTCTAGATAATCCTAAGACTTCATTAACCACGCTGGCATCTCTAGGGGAATGGAAAAGGTCTCTTGTTCATTTCAGCCCCATCCACCAAGCCCAAACTTGGCTTCCCTTTATGGGCCGCCATGTTTCCTCCTGGCAAAATCTCACCCCTTTCCCCCCTTCCCCCATGGACTATTAAGTCTACAAAGAGGATCATCTGGTAATGGAGAATTGGTCACAAATCAAATGAGATCCTTGTGTGAGACCAGTACACAGGTAGACGAACACAGTCACTAGATATACATAGAGGTGAACAGCAATTACATCACTAGTAAACAGTTTATACCAGGGGTGAGGAACCTTCAGCTTCAAGGCCACATGTGGCCTTCTAGGTCCTTGGGTGCAGCCTTTTGACTGAGTCCAAGTTTTATAGAACAAATCCTTTTATTAAGGGGATTCAGTCAAATGGCCACATTTGAGGACCTAGAGGGCCACATGTGGCCTCGATGCTGCAGGTGCCCCACCCCTGGTTTATACCCTTATGTTCTACACATACCCTGAATTGTAAGGAAAAGGAGTTTTCCCATTACCTAACCTAGGGCTCTGCACACAGTAGGGATTGATGGATATTTGGTGAATCATATATGTTGAGTGGTTGAAACTACCCCCTGCTCCCCAGCTGGGACACTAATGGGGGGGGGATGCCTGCCAAGGCCACCCATTTCCACATCCTAAGGTCCTGCTCATTCCTCTTCTGGGGGCTGAGATGTAACTCACCTGAGCATTTGAGGGAGACAACCCAGCCCAAGGCACAGCTGTGCCTATGAAGCAGTAGGGGTTAGGAAAAAGAGGCGTCAATGTTGGGACTTCTTGTTCATACCCAAGGGCTCAGGGCCCTTTATCTCACAGCAATAGAGTCACCGTTTAAGCTCTTGTCTAAGTGGATAGAGCACTGGACCTGGAGTCGGGAAGACCTCAGTTCAAATCCAGCCTCAGATACTTACCCACTGGGTGACCCTGGACAAATCCCTTAACCCTGTTTGTCTCAATTTCCTCATCTGTAAAATTATGTGGAGAAGGAAATGGCAAACCACTCCAGTATCTTTGCCAAGAAAACCCCAAATGGGTTCATGAAGAATCAGAAACAACTGAATAACAATGAAAGGCTGTCCCCTCCCCCCTCAGAAAAGGGCATCAGAATGGCCACACACCTTCAGTACAGTGTTCAACCAAAGCAAAAGCCACTCCTGGCAGAGAGGGTAGACATAGGCTTGAACTATTTATAAACAACTAGATGGTGTAAGTGGATGAAGTGCTGGAATTGGAGTCAGGAAAAAAAGATCTGAGTTTGAATCCTGCCTCAGACACTTACTGCATGGCCCTAAGCAAGTCACTTAGCCTCTCTGTGACTCAGTTTCCTCATCTGTAAAATGGGGAGGTTGGTTTCAATAGACTGTAAGATCACTGTTGGCTCTGAATCTATGACCCCATGATACTATTTACAGTTTGGGCATACACATAAAAGAGATACAGGGCCCAGCCACAGGCACATCACAGGTCCAAATGATTCCCTGAGAAAACTCTACTTTCCCTTAGTCCCAATTGAATTCAGCCCCATCAGCCAGAGATTGGAGAAGTCTCACTTTTGCTAGTCCTCACCCAACCCTAAATTAATCTCTTTTCTCTCCTCCCCCACAATCCTCCAGTTCGCCATCTACTTCCACTAAACTAGAATGTTTCTAATCCCCACCTTGAGAAAACAAAAAGGTGTCCCCTATTTACATACTTAGGTATTTACTTATGCCACATGTATTCACTCCTTCCTCTCCTATAGATCCTGCAGAGGAGGAAGAATCTGGGAGAGAAAGATGTGGGGACAGGCACAAGAAGTGTGGGTATCCCACTCACTCATAGTTAGTGGCTTGCGGCATTGGTCCTGGCCAACTTCCAATATTCGGGAGAATATCTTCCAGGCCTAGGTATTTTTCTCTTCTCTAGGCAGTCCACTGATCTTGCCAGGATGGGGAGATTTACCTCTTTCTTGAGAATTACCTGGATCTTTTGCAATTTCTGGTTGGCAATCTCTGCCTCATCCCTAGATGCCCCTGGTGGCCAGGCACCACTCCCTCCCCTTGAAGAAAAAGAGGGCTCTGTGCCTGAGATCTCCAGGAAAATGGGAAAGATTCCTCCTGTTGACCCGATCCCCTTCTACTCAACCCAAACCCTACCTGTGCTGCCACATGTCCTCCAAGCGACCCCCTGATCCAGGAAGAAACTGAAGAAACTCCTGAGAACTGTTGACCTTGATATCAGTCAGGTTCACTCCTTTGTGGTGACTGAGTCTTGACAAAAAAAAAAAAGGTAGCCTTAGTTTAGCAATAAGAAGAAATGGGTTTAAACTGCAACAGAAGGAATATAAGTTAGATTTCTAATGGGGAAACATTGAAACGGATGGCAGAGTGAGGAAGGAAACAGATCCTTCCTCTCATGCGGTCTTTTTAGTGTCATTGTTGAAAATGACATAGATTCTCAAAAGTCTGAGCCAAAAGGCAAGAGAACATGCTAGATGACCTCAGCACTGGGGCTCATCTTGGAGAGAAATGGAAATATGGGACAAATAAAGGAATCTCCCCACCTTCCGGTCCTCTCTCTCTGTTCCTCTCCTCCATTTCCCCGGCCCTCCTCCACTCCCACTCTCGCCAAGGTACCTGAGATGTCCAAGGTGTCTGCAGATCCAGGTCCCTAAAGCAGGGTTCCAGCCCTCATGGCATACCAGAAGCCAGCCTGGCCATGCCCTTACCTGCACTTCCAGTAAGAAGTTTCTGGGGTTTATTCTGAAAGATACTGAAACCATAGCATGAAAAACCACATTGTTGCCTGTGCTCACCAGCGTTCAGGAAGCAGGGAAGTCCAGGCTCTCTGGAACCTAGCAGTGTCCCCTAAGAGTCTGGACAAGTCGGTGCTTGATGGGGTTGGGGAGAAAAGCCTGGGTACAGACATCTATCTGGGTTATTCTGGACAGAAACTGGCAGGGTGTTTTCCAAAGAAAAGGCAAAATGCACAAATTAGAGAAAATCCGCATCCGCAAGCCCCAGGCCCTAGCCCCAATTTAGGCCAAACAATCTACCTGTCTCTAAGGGAAACCCTGTCTCCCGATACAAGAAAAGAGGCCATCTGTAGCTTAATTTTCTAACCCTCTAAATCTTTCCTAGGCCCCAGGTCCTGGCTAAGGACAAGCTGCAGGGAAAGACAAGATTGTCCCCAGAGAGCAATGAGTCAGCCCAGACAGTGATAAAAGCCAGAATTCATCTCCTTAAGGACAGGCCTAGCTCAGGGTCCTGTCCCTCTCCACCCTAACACCTCCACTTCCCCTCCCTCCCACCCAGGGAGCCAGGGGGCTTTCCATCCATCTCCATCCTTGACGGTGGTTGATGAAAGTAGAGCCATAATGGAGAAATGAGACCCAGAATTCTCTTGACTTGCATCCAGAATCCTGAATGTAAGGGAGAATCTTGAAGGAAGGATTTCCTATAAGCACAGACTGGGTGAGCAGGACTCAAGAAAGAGGGAAGGTCACCCACCTGACTTGGAGACTGTTGGGGTGAGGGGACTCTCTGTACAACTCATGACATTATTTTGCTGCAGGGTCTTCCACAAGGCATTTGCCCTGAAAAGCAGGACTAAAGAAAGAGGTGAAAAAGGAGGGGGAGAGAGAAGGTCAGGAGAGGCCCAATGACAGCCACCATGGACAACCAGAGAATTCTAAAATGGGACAGGCATCCGAAAGAGGACACTTCATCCCTGGCTCTGTCCAAGGCAGTTAGGTGAAAGTCTTTCTCCCATTCTAGCAAAAGTTGCTCCATAAATTCTCTGGGTCAACCATTAATTATTCAGATGACTTACAGCCCTCACTGTTGAAAAGTTTCTCTTCATGCCTAACCCAAGTCCTTCCTGCTACAGTTATAATCCATTTCCTCCCACTCTCTTCTAGGTGAAGACAAGGAATAATCCTTCTCCCCTTCCTCCTTTAGTGACTATCTCTCCCAAGTACTTCCTTTTCCCTTCACACCTTCCCCCACCCACCCACCTACCCTAAAGCTATTCCTTTGTCCCTATCCTCCCAGTCTTCCTAATGGATCAGAAAGGACTATTTTAAGCCTAGGAAATCATGAGGCAGGCTATAGCTCAGGGCCCTCAGCCTCACAGACAGTGTTACTATTCACCTTATCACTGACCTAGAAGCCAGGTCCCAACGCCTATCCCAGCCATCAGCCCAATGGTCATGAACAAGATACACCCACGCCTTCCCCACCTTGGAAGGGTCCTGCGACCATCAGGGGAGTCTGTAAAAAGGAGCAGAGAGAACCTGGGACCCCAGAACCCTGACAGCCCAATCCCCCCAGTGGGGCCTTAAGCAAGTAACCTTGCAGGTGCCCCTCTGTCATGTCCCAGGAATAGATGAAATGGGAAAAGAGAGGAAACTCAGTTGTCCCTCTTCTAAGCAAACTGGACAAGGGAGCTTCCTCTCCTTCCATGTCAGGAATAGGAAGAATAGGAAAAGTAGACTAAAAGGGGGAGGAGATGTGAATGAACAAAGAAATGGGATGGCATTTAATCTATCTGAACTTTGGTTTCCTCATGTGTAAAACGGTCACAATATTACCTGAATTACCTATCTCACAGGGTTGTGAGACTCAAGCAAGATAATGTATATAATAGGATATAATGGCCCTTTGCATGTGTATAAGCTAGGACTCTGTCCTGCCCTGCCCTTCTCTTCTCTCTATCTTCTCTCTTTTGGTGATTTCATTCCTCCCATGGGTTCACAGGACTTCCAGATCTAGATACCTGGCCCTCACCTCTCTCCTCAGTTTCAGTCTCCCATTACCAACTCCACCTGGATGTCCCAGAGGCATCCACACTCAACATATGCAAAACAGAAGTCATGATCTTTCTTCCCCTTTTTCTAACTCTCCTGTTTCTGTTGCGGTCACCACCCTTTTTCCAAACACTCAACTTTGAAACGTCCAAGTCTCCACTGACTCTTCTCATTCTGCCCTTCCACTACACAGTCAGACCAGCCTCGTCAACCCTGCTTTTACAATTGGTCTCCTATCTGTTCCCTGCTCACAGGGCTCCCACCTGAGTTCAAGCTGTCATCACCTCTCCCTCCCAAACTGTTGCAATAGCCTCTAATGATTTCCCTGACATAAGCTCCTCCCTTATCGATCCATTCTCCACACAGATGCCAAATTGACATCGACTATGTCACTCCCATACTGGAGAAGTATCTGTGTGTCACTATCACCTCTGGAATAAAAATACAGAAACTTCTGTTTGGCGTTTAAAGCCCCTCACAGTCCGACTCCAGCCAATCTTTCTAAGCTAATTTCACACTATTTTTCCTCATGTGACCTATGCCCCAACTTAGTCACTTGCTATTTCCCTGTGCCTCTGCCTGAAGGCACCCCCTTCAGCTCTTAGAACTCCCAAATTGCCTGGCATTTCCTCTTTCTATTTAGCGTTTTGTGTGTGTGCATGTTACTTTTTCCAATCAGAATGCAAGTTTCTTGAAGGCAGGCATTATTTCATTTTTGACTCTGTACCACCAGCACCTAGCATGTTGATTTTCACACAGTAATTGCTTAATGTTTGCTTAATTGGATGGAAGTGCTTTATGAATTTTAAAAAGCCATTATGGAGGAAGAGGGGAGATGGAAACCTGAAAGATCTGAATAGCCCACAGACTATTCTAGTCTAATCCCTGACAGTTGTCAGGTCAGAAAAGAATGGCCAGCATGTTATGCAGACCCGCCACCCTCCTCTACCCCTCAGGCCTCCTTCCAATGGTGTGCTCCTCGAATTTCCCACTGTCCTCCCCAGCCCTGTCCTCACTGAATTCTTCCTGGTACTCGACTATCTCTGGCCATCCTTCAGCCTCCTGTCCAGGGCTTCCCGGCACCAGGCTGGCCTCCCCTCCAGGATGCCCTTCCAAATCATGCTGGTCACCCAGATTCACGTTCTAGGAAGAAAAATAAATTAAAGATACATAGAACTCCCTCCCTCCATTATCAGCCTCAGACTCTTACTCTTGACATTTTTGGCAGTCTGGTGAAGCCTCTATATATGGGCTTCTTCTCAGAAAAATATTTTTCAATTTATAAAATAAAATATGGAGGGTTACAAAGGAAACCAATTATATTGATAATAATTGCTAATAATGTTCATAATAATATAGTGAAATATAAATGTAACCTATAATATGTAAATATATTATAAATATTCAATAAATATAATATGTTAACAATAATTAGTAAATAGTGCTTTAAGGTTTGCAAAATGCTCTACAAATATTATCTCATTGATTCTCACAACCATCCCATGAGGTGCTATTACTAACCCCATTTTACAGATGAGAAAACTGAGCAGACAGAGGTTAAGTGACTTGCCCAGAGTCACATAGCTAGTAAGTGTCAGAGGATGGATTTGAATTCAGGTCTTTGTGACTCTGGGTCCAATGCTTCATGTAGCTGCCTCAGATATAACATTCTTGAAATACAATTATCAAAATATTTTCAAAAATAACTTCAAACCCCCCCCTCCAAGTCAAGAACCCCAGGGAGTGTCCAAAGCCCCCAAAGCTGTTGTTTGGTGATCGTTTTCTTCATGTCTCATTCACCACAGCAGCTGCTCCAAACATTTTCCCCCATCCCTGAGTCCCCAGCCCCACTCTGTGCCCCTCACTCTTAGCGGATGGCTTGACCGCCTGGTCTTGGGAATATGTCCAGTCTGTGCATCATATAACTCTTTACCCTCCCTCTTCTCCACCCCAGCATTTGTCTGTAACCTCACCCATTCACTAGACCAGAGGTTCCCAAACTTATTTGGCCTACTTCCCCCTTTAAAAAAAAAAATTCCTTAGCGCCCTCCTGGAATCTACTTTCTTAAAACCTTTAATGGGATTTTTTGAAAGGTGAGTCATTTCAAAAATATATAAAATATTTTTATGTGACACCTTAAATTTAATAATTAATTTAATAATTGAATAAATTTAATAATTTATTGAAAATTTGTGGGGGGTTTTCCCTGCACCAAAATTTTGATGATGCAACATTGCATCACATAACTGTATAGTATGGTATTATAAACAAGTCATTACACCCACATATGCTTGTTGGTGCATGCTGGACTTCTTGAAACCATAGGACATGCTCGCCTGCCAACACTTGCTTGTTAAGACCCGTCAGCAGACTTGACCACTGATCAGTTATGGCTTGCCTTTTGTGTGTTCATTAGGAAAATAATGTAATCACTACAACTTTAACTCTGTTACACAACAGATGAAACATGTTCAACTGGTTTTTCAAAATTTTCTGATCTCTTTCTCTCTGCTTCCACCACCCCCTTATTTTTATTCAATGCCCTCAATTGCCCCCAGGCTACTACCACCCCCCTGGATCGTTCCAGCACCCCCTAGGGGGCGTATGGCCCACCTTGGAGTTTACCTCTCCCCAGGTTACCCAGCCCCTCCCACCTTCTCTGGTTCTGTCAATCTCTTCTCTCCCCTGCCTCCATCCTCTCTGCCCACAAACATGGCCAGGCCTCCGCCACTCTCAGACCCTTCTCTTCTGTCCATGGATGGAAGCCGTTCCTCTTATCAAGGCACATATAAAGTTTTTTGGGGGAGGTTCCCCTCGTTGTAAACCCGGAATGCCAGTTTCCCTTAACAGATCCAGAAGCACAGGCCCAGCACAGGCATCCCCCAGAGGGTCTGAGGCAGGGGGAGGAGCCAGCCCCTGGGCTGGGAGGGGCTCAGGGCATGTCCGTCATCCCTTCTCTGCCAATGAGCACAGAGCTAGGGACAGGCATCCCCTCCCCCTTGTCAAGGGACAAGCCCAGCAGGGGGCCTGGGATTCCGGAACAGGAAGAGAAAGCCCCTGTGCCTGCCGATTAGAGGGGGCTGACACCAGAGGGGGTCTGCTTAGAGCTGGGACGGGTCCAGACACCTGCCTCTAGCCAGGCCCGGAGGAGTTGAGATGGTTACTAATGTGCCTTAAGCACAGCGGCTGCCCAGAGAGAACTGGATTAGAGGGGGTCTAAAGGGAAGGGGGAAGAGAGAAAGAAATAGGACCCGGTCTGGCCCTTTATGATCACTGCTTCCTTCTCCGCTATTAACACTTTCATCAATCATATGGAGAGAGGAATAGATACCTGGATGATCATAGCGGTGGATGATACAAACCTGGGAAGCATGGATGATAAGCATGGATGACAATCAGAACCCCCCAAAAAAAGATCTTGCCAAGCTAGAAAATTGGGCTAAACCTAATAAGATGAAATGTAATAGGGATACATGTAAAATCTTACACTCGCTTTCAAGAAATGGATTTTACAAGTATGGAATGGGAAAGGCATGGCTGGAGAACAAGTTGTCTGGAAAAAGATCTAGGGCTCCTAGTGGTCAACCAGTTTTGAGTCAGCAGAGTGATATGGCAGGCAGCCATGAATTTGGCTGAGTAGATGGGGCTTCCTACAGATGGGAGCTGCTGGCATATATAAAAGGGTTTTTTTTTTGGGGGGGGGGAAGTTTCCCCTTATTGTAAACCTAGAATGCCAGTTTCCCTGAACAGACCCAGGAGCCCACATTAGGAGAGGCAAAGCTTCTTGGAGCAAGGATTCAATAAGGATTGTACTCTGCCATGCTCAGAGAAAGAAACTACACTGATAAGCTAGAGAGGGTCTAGAGGAGAGCAATGTGGGTGGTGAAGAGCCTTGAGTCCATCCCATGTCAGAACCAGGTGGAGGAACTGGGAATGTTTAGCCTGGAGAAGGCTGAGGGGACACGTGATAATCTGTCTTTAACAATCGCAAAGACTGTCATGTAAGCTACATGTTCTGCAGGATTGATATATTACTTGGCTTCTCAATGGGTGGGGGAGGGCCAGGAGAGAGGGAGAGAATTTAGAATTCAGTTTTTAAAAATGAAGGTTAAAAATAAATAAATCATATGTGTAACAGGCTGTCGTATGGAAGAGGGGTTAGATTATTCTATTTGGCCAAAGGGCAGAACTGAGAAAAATGGGTAGAAGGGTTGAAAAAGGCAAACTTAGGCTTGATATAAGGACAATTTCCCAAATTACAGGGAGGTAGTGGCTTCCCCCTCACTGAAGGTCGACAACCAGGGCCTGGAGTTCATGGGGTTGTTGTTGTCTATCTTTTTCAGGCATAGGTTGAACTGGATGGCTGCCAAGGTCCCTTCCTACCCTAAAAGTCTATGGTAGCTATGCCTTAAAGAATATTGTCTATGATTTTGCCAGGAATCAAAATCAAGTTCCCTGGCCTATGGTTTGCAGACTCCACTCGTTTTTTGTTTTGTTGTTTTTGTTTTTAATCACAATGTTGGTCTTTCTCCAGTCCAATAGCACCTTTCCCACCCACTACTGAATAGCATTGTTTGTTTTTAGAAACATCTTCCCTAGTTTTGCCTTCTGACTTCACAGCTCTGTTCCATCTTTGAATTTTAGAACGATAACCTCCATCTGATTGAGGAGGAAGAAGCAAGTAGATCTGTGGAAATGTCTGTCTCTCATCAGCCTTGTTCAGGTCAATAGCCTATAAATGGCCCCTTGAAATGCTCTTGGGAGACCTGTGAAAAGGATCAACACAAATGGGGGAGAAATGAAATCCGCTCCTGTGGAAAGATAAAGCAACCAAATGGCACAGTGTGTGGAGTGTTGGGCCTGGAGTCAGGAACACCTGAATGCAAATCCAGCCTTAGACACTGACTAGCTGTGTGACCCTGGGCAAGTCACTTAACTTCCATCTGCCTAAGTTTCCACATCTGTAAAATAGAGTTAATTGTAGCACTTTAACGTTGAAAAAGACCTCATACTCCAAACCCAGTGTTCCATCCACTGCATCACACTGGACATTGATGGGTGTGGGGAAATCTGATTTTTAAAGAGAATTCCCAGGGCCTGACTTTATGAGACTGTCTTATCAGGTCTTAAGAGAGATTAAATTACCAAGTAAGTGAGGGAGGACTGTGGAGCTGTATTAGGGCTGGGGGCCTGACTATACCAAACCTCAGAAGGCAAAGAGTGCCAGCTTCAGCCCCATCCCTGGAGCTACTTGGGGAGCCTCCCCCACCAACTCTGAAACAAATAGAGAGGGCAAGGCAAGGGGAGAAAGGATAAACAGATCAGACCTTACCATGTGAGAGAGGACAGTTAACACTCAATGCTTAGGCTTCAGGATCTGCCACGGCAGGACTTGTCTTCTGCTTCCCGGGAGCTGCTAGCTGCTCAGGTACATCGAATCCTCAGTTGGGCTGGACTGCTAGCTCTCAGCCTCTCTTATCTGCCACCCTCCCTAGATCCCCAGGACCTCCCTCCCAGATGGGCCTTCAGCTGGGCTGCTGTGCCAACAAGGGGGAAGGAGGGCTGGGTTGGCCATGATCACCACCCTTCCAGATGCTAATTGGATGCCTGGAAACAGAGAAGAATATTGGGGGGTGGGGAGTGAAGAGCAGGCACAGGGGAGGGTGCTGGGGGATGGCTAGTGGACTGTTGCCTAGCATTCGGTCCCTCATGCCAAAAAGTGTGTAGTCTTTGAGTGCGCTGGGCAAATTTTCCCTTCTAAATGACGCCTGTCTGGAGATGGAGCGAAGGCAATATTAGCATTTGTTGACATGTTTCTGAGTTAGGCTTCTAGGTTTCTTTCTAGGCTTCACCGGCTCTCTATCTGGATCGCCATTCCCCAGTGAAGGTGGAGCTGTCATAATATGTGGGTGATGATGGAGGGAATTCAGATGCCCCCACGCTCATAGGGAGGAAGGGTTCTCCCTGAACTGAGCATCAGTACTGTCTGAGATTCAGGGAACACCATCTGAACCGCAGCTGGGCCTGGTGAGCACAAATGTTAGGTGATTTCTTTGGGCCTATGGAACTGACCCAGAGAAAGTGAAAAGACAGATGGGATGGGAGCTGGACTAACTGATGCCTGTCATCTAAAATCTGTCTTTCCAATCCTTTCCTGCCTTCACAGGCTCAGGGGAGGTCTTACACTCATCCCAACTAAACACTAATGTATTAGGTGAACATAAAATTTAACTTCCTTGAGCCCTAGCTCTATCATCTTTAAAATGGGGTGATGTGTGTTAACATCTGCACTATTTAACTTGAAAGGCTGTTGAAGAAAACTCTTTGTAAAACTTGTATAATGGGAGCCATTATTCATTATCTCCTAATAGTTAAACTTCTAAGCCTCGGTTTCCACATCTGCCAAATGGGTATAATAATAGCACCTACTTCACAGGGTTGTTACGAGGATCAAATGAGATCATACATATAAAGTGCTTTGCAGACCTTAGAGTGATATATAAAATGTTGACTGCTATTGTTTTTTTTTTTTTTTTGGAGGGGAAGGAGCAGGGCAGAAGGAGAATGCTGATGGCACAGAACAGTGCTCTGGCCTCATCAGCATGGTGAGGAGCTGCCAGTGAGGACGTTGGTTCTACCCTGGCAGATCAGCGTTGGGTCCACAGCTTAGAGTCTTAGAGGGTCACCTGGATCACTGATGGGGTTAAGTAATTTGCCCTGACTCATGCAAGCAGTACCCATGTCAGAGGCAGGACCTGAACCCAGATCTATCTGACTCCAAGGCCTTGTGCTATATGAACACCACTCTACCCAGCGCAGAGAGGATACTAAATGTTTGTCATCTGAGTGATCAGTGAACAGATTTCTGACCCTTATTCTTACCTTCCCTTCTCCCTATTTTCCACTCAAACACATGCATATTTAGTTCTCTATTCTTAGGAGGCAGGAAAAATATATAGAACTACTACAATGAGATTATAGCAATTTCCGGATGGTCGTTTTGAGAGATGGCCCAAGCCAGCCGTTTCTCTCTCATTCTCTGAATTTTGCCACCATTTCCCCATGTCTCCCACCTCACTCACTCCCCCTGTTTTTTTTCCTGTTATATGTTATCTTCCCTCATCAGAATGTAAACTTCTTGAAGATAGTAGTTATCTTTTTGCTAGAATTCATATCCTCAGCCCAGAATTCAACTCCTAGCAAATAGTAAGTGACTGATAGGTCTGCTGAGGAGTTAATAACCAGTGAAACAGAAAGCCATTTCTAAAGAGGACTGGGACATCCTGAGCAATTAGAGCCAGCCTAACTCTGATCATTACAGGATACCTCG